AGATCACAGATCAAGTTCTCATAGGTGCAAGTAATAGAGTGATTTGCACTTGAGGATAAACCCTGTGTTTTCCCTGTAAGGTTGATTCCTGAAATTTTGTGACTGTTACCACTAGATTTTGAGTTACAGCCCTGTGTGTACCAGAAAGTTGCAATATAAGCCATCTGTCACATTATTCTCTGCCATTCATGGAAATCTCTAAATAGTTACTTTCAATTGTATTTCATAAACCTACACAAAAGAAAAATAACAAAAACACAAATGAATTGTATACCATAAGTGAAGCTACCTACCGAATAACTGAATTAATTAAATTAACATTTAATGAGAATGAACATTTTCTCTGAGAATATACAAGGATTCCGCTCCTTTTTCAATACTCTGAAGAGCCACCAAAAAAAGAAAATTCAGGTAACAGATACAGAATAAATAAAGACCTCTAAAAACGGACCTCTGGTTAGTAGCAAGTCTCCTGGTTATTCTTCATAGCCATCATTCTTGAAAACTATCATTTAAGGCAGAGAAACATTCTATATATTACATAAAAACCCCTGAAAAATTAATGTTGCATTTTAAAAAGAAATTATTTTTAAAAAAGACATAATTACGACAAAATTGTTACCATGTTAGTCATACATATTTTTCAAAGTAAATCTCTGAATGGGCTACCATTCTACACTATGAGTCTTCTACAAGAACTTAGAAACTTGCCTAATCTGCAAGAGAGTGGAACAATCTATTGATTTTGGTATTGATTGAGTATAATGCAGTATGGAGTAACTCATGAAGTTTGTAATGTTTTCTGAAAGCACAAAAAAAACCCCACTCAAACACAAACAACAATCCTGACTACCTGAAAACGCACCCTGTGAATTAGTGACCTAAGAGAGAACAAAAGCCCAGGCAATGCATTACAGAAAGTATGTTATTTAATAGTCCTGAGAAATTTGCCACAGATTTTCAGAAACTCTGTAATAGGGAGAAAAAACCCACCTTTCTTTTTGACATGTAGATTGCTTACATCATATATACAAATATTGTTCTCTCATGCTGTTCTAATGTTTTTAAATGTTGTAGGTAGAGGTGTTCTGTTTTTTAATGAATATAGATTAAACTTCGTATTTACAATTTGGTTCCTAGCTTTTTTATTTAAAAAAAAAAAAGTGAAATTAATTATCTATGAAAAAGTTTCAAAAATGAATAAGTTACTTGTAAAGTGACAATGAGTTAATGACTTTCAGAGGAAGGAAAACCTGCAGTTTTATGTTGTTATTAGAATATGAAAGGAAGACTCTATACACCGTTACCCGTAAGCTCTGTATAAATTAGAGTCAATCAAATAAAACAGCAGCCTGGATAAATGCAATATAAATCTTTAGAATACCATAAAAAAAGAAATTAGTAAAGTGTACTAAATTACCGAAATATTTCTTGTCTGGAATACTAATAGAAAAGCAGGAAAGTCATTATGTTTAAAAGAAGAGACAGCTTTAATTACATGAGTCTTCAGGAACTGTCATATCAGTAAGCTCACTAGCTGCAATGAAAGTTCCTCCTGCTGATCTAAGAGTACCTAAAGAACAGGATTTGTTATACTTCAAAGCAAAAAAGGATCTTTAATTCATGTACTGTAACAGTGAATTAAGTCTACTTCTAATACTATAAAAGTAGAAACTAAAACTTTAGCATTTAATAGAAAAAAACAAATACCCTGAAGTAAACTACAATTACGTAAGTCACGTCTCTTGCTGTTTGCCCACTAAAGTTATATTTAAAAAAATAGAATTTATTTTTTCTAATGCAATAATTAATTTACATATAGTGAATGTTTTATCATTTATAAAATACATGTTAGCTTCACAATTAACAGACCTTGCCACTGCTCTTAAAGTCTTGCAAGCTGTGTTAACTGCTTCCTGTATGACAATTACTGGACAATATTTAATAAAATGAAAGGAGCAAGAATGTTTCTTCTAAAAAGAATAAAAAGAAAATGAGTTGCTAAACATCGTAGTATTCTAATGTTCATCATTTGGAACCAGAAATAAGTTGACAGTTTTAAGAATGAGCAAGGACAAATAAAAAAAGATACAAGGTATGCTATAAGTGAGCTGGCTACATGGACAATCATGTCAAGGAAGAATTCAAAAAAAGTATATTTTAAGAAATGTGTTTAAAAAACTTGTAGAACACTCAACCACCACTTGATGATGATTAAACCAAAACCAATAATGCATACTATAGTTCCAATTTTAATACCGTGTGCTCAATTTAAAGTTTTCTGTTAAGATCGTTCAAATGGCATTTACACATCTTTCTGCGACATTAATTTTGATTTATAATTTAAAGAGCATTTGCAAATAATACCTTTATGCCACAGATAAAATGTGAACTTATTGTATTCAAAGAAACGAAGATGCAGACAGGAAATAAAACATCTCAATTAAAAAGACAACTTGCAAAAAAGTATGAGAGTAAATAATGTTCTTATCAAATTTCATTAATTTATTATTGGGAATTACTTTAAAAATTACTTCAGAGCACAAAGTTCAGTGAAACCATGAAGGGAATGGCATTCTGCCACCTCTACAAGGCCCTAAGCTTTGCTAGGACAAAAGGTAGAGAAAAGGATTTAGAAACAAATACTGTAACAAAATATAACCTATATGGTTCACAGAAAAATTGAATGCCATATTGATATGATACGAAACCAGAAAAGAATGATATATCTCCTCATCCAACAGCTTTGACCAACAAAGCTGCATATAGATAAACAGAACCTTCCTACACAGGAAAAACCCAGGCTGAATTCCTTCCTTCTGTACTATCAGCAGCCTTTAACCCTTAGATATAACCTTCGGATCGAGTGGATTTCCAAATTTACTGGAAGTCTGAACTGTCACCAGTAAATACAACCCAGGATGGATTATTCTTGTTAAGCACTAAGTAGAGTACATTGGAATGGAGGAGATGCTCTAAGCCCTCAATACCCAAATTCTGTTCTAACACAACCAGTATTTCTTCGGGAATAAGCATATTTGCCTAGATGATCATCAAGATAAAAGATTTTTGATGACGTCCCCTCTATCACTCTCCCTAGCAGCCATAATGACGCTTTGTAATATCTGCTGTGTTTCCCAGCTCACTAGCCTCAATGCAAATCATTTTTGGTCAACTTGTTAATTCTTCATTAACATATCAGTAAGTTACTGGTCAGGTGAGTCCATTATGTTGGTTGCTGATCACAACCACAGATTCACAGATTTTTTTTGAACTGATCTTTTGGTAAGCTCAAGCAAAAATAGTCACTTTGTTAATTTTCATTAAAAGTCACTTCATTTAAAAGTTGGTGCATATTAAATCAACTTTATTTGTAAAAATATACTTCTGCAAAAGCACTAAAAGGTTTAAAAAAAAATACCCCAAGAGCTGCAGCCTTTGAGATCTGCTGGATTTTCCAAAATTCCAGTGCAGGAGGAGTCTTTCTAGACAAAATTGAGTCTTACAGGCAGGGAAACGAAGTATAAACGAACACCCCCGTATGCTAATCTGTTAAAGATATCCTAAGTCTTTGTCTTTTTTATACAGTAAAACTGAAATACAAAATGCATCTCGTAATACACTGAAATAAATTCAATATATAAACTTGGAAATGTGGTCATTGATTTCCATCCTACAACATACTGAGTGAGATCAAAGATTCATCTAGTCAATAGCAGATACCTAAAAAAGAACAGAAGGCCTGGACTGATAATTTTACTGGCTTCTCTTTGAATAGTCAGTATTTTATATCTCAAGCTTTTCAGAAGACAATCAGCAGCTTCATATAAGATGACTTATACACTGAAAAGAATCGCTTTTAATAAGGAACATTTTAATTTTTCTGGCTGATATGCAAAATTCAACCACAATACAGCTAATAACATACTAGCAATGAAATAAAAAATTTAAAAAACCCCAGTGGCCAGTCACCACTGAATATAATGCATAAAATACTAAATTTATATACAGCAGAAACTCCATTACCACTACAAACAGATGAAAAGCTTGAAGCATCTGACAGCTACTTAACAAAACTTGAACTTCTAAGTGGTTATAATGCCCCAACTAAAATTGGAAACTTTAAGAACCATGACAACAGGAAGCAAACTCTATGTGAGTGACCACTATCTCAAGTTGTCTATCAGAAGCAGGCTTTGCAAAGCTGTAGCTTATGGCAGGGAGACTGACTGAAGCATAAGAGTGACACTGTACAAAGCAATACAGATAAACACTGATATTCTCCAAACTGACACAAACTAAAAAATGATTAACTGAGACAGCCCATCCAATCTTCTTTTCCTACTAGACTAGGAGAGTGCTGAGGTGACATCAATTTCTAACTCCATGCTTAGTCAGTTTAAATTACTTAAGCTGTGATAAAATATGGAGAAGGCACTCTTAATTAAGAGATTAACTGCAAAAAAAACCTTGCTGTTGCTTGTACTGAGATTTACCATATTCTATACTGCATGACAAAGCAGTAAAAAGAGGAATTTATTCTTCAAGACTTCCGATGCTACTGTTGCATGAAAAACATACACGCGGGGAAGACAAAATTGTTCTGATTCATGTTTAGAACAAATAAATAAAATTAAGTGATGGTATGACAGTCTTTCTGCATTTCTGAATCAAAAGACACTGAGTGATTGTACTATAGTTATCATATAAAAGATTGAAAGTTAGAAACAGTATAAAATCTTTTAATTGAAAATAACTTATCAAAGAAATCAATTTTGGACAATGATTCTAGAAGATATGTTAGAAGAAATGTAATGGGAAATCCTGTAGTAAATATTAGAGGACTGAACAATAAATATCTTCAAGAGCAGCTCCAATTACTGATCTATAACATAGACTATTAGTGTCTATTTTTAAAATGATGTTAATGAAAAATAAGCATCATCTCACACAAAAGACACTGCAATGCACTCACAATCAAAACTTTTAGTTATACGAACCTTTACTAGCTTTATCTAAATGCTGAAAATCCTCAACAAAATTCAGGACATCCTGATAGCTTTCTTCACATACTTCTACAAGAAAATGGAGCAATGTCGTTTTTTGATCTGCTGACTTTGTGTCCTTCAGCTAGAGAGAAAAAAACAAATGTTAAAACTCTGAGAATGAGATTACTTCTGACTATTTTGATAATTAATATATATTATTAATGAACCCAAGAAAGGTAAGAACAAACTGTTGAATGGGTACAGTTATTTTAAAGAAAACCCTAAGAAATTGGCTATTTCCCTCCTTGCTAAAAATCCCTAGAAAGATCATATTAAATATTTTTTAATTCTATGCAATATTTGTGTTCTGTATTTAAAAACAGTACGTTTCTTTTTTAAAAATGTAACTATTTAAACAACATAGAAATATTTGCAAAATTGTGAATAGACTCATGAAAGGGTAAAAAAATAAAAATCAGAGCTAAATCAGGAAAAATCTAGCAATACATGATGCACATATCCACTCCATGACACGATATTCTTATGTGTGAAGCTAACTCTAGCCTAACAATATTTATGCAGTGGAAGCTACAATCTCAACCTGCATGAGTTCTTATTGTTATCACTTCTCAACAGGGCTAACACGAGTTCATAGGTTTCATTGTGTAAAAACTTAAGACTTGAAAAATTCTTAAGCACAAACTTTTCTTTCTGAACCCTTTATACACGTAAAATTATTTTAAGGCTGGCCATTTCAAAACTCGCAGCTACTTGTGTAAAAACACTAAGAATTGACAATTGGCAAGCATTCAGCTACACCTTTCTGTTGTAGTCTCCCATTTGAGCTAGTCTTTTCAATCACCAAAGAAATTTTTATAAATGGACGACGACATCTCATATGAAGATGTTCCTTCACTACTTAAAAGCTATTGCTGCATCAAACAGTGGAAGAGAAGAAGTATACGCGTACGTAGGCACATACAAAGCATGCATACACACTAAAGGGCTGTCGCAATTGCACACAGAATTGCAATCTGGATATTGGGAGAAAAAGCCCGTAGAGCAGAATTACAACTCGCCCTACACAAGTAGAAAACTCATGTCAGTTCGCTTCAGCTTTAAGACCGTTCTTTAGCTTGGTTGCCATCAAAAATACAAGTGATCAGCAATGCTTAACGGTATAAGAGTAACTACAGCAACAAGGCAGAAAGGAAAAATTACCTTCCTTTCCAAAGAGAGTTCAAAACCAGGCACAGAGTTATATGGGGATTACTTCTGAATAAGGAACCGAGAGCAAGATCAATCCCAATTTAAATATGCATGCACATTTATTATTTTTCTAAACATATATTACCAGTTTTCCCAGGGTTGCAAATTTCTTATAAAGGGGTTTTTTCACACTTCTTGTGCTTCCCAATATCCTCAGAGATCAGCTAAAGAGCATTTTATTAATCTGATTTAAAAACCAAATAAGAGTATAGTGTTTGCTGTTTCCATACTGTATGCAAATTAAAATGGAGAAATTTGGATGGCGTTTATCACTGAGGTTGATATTTCATACTTCACTGTAAAAAGTGAGTGATTATTTTCAAAGATCAAAATGATGCGATCTTAATAAATATGATGACATATGCTCTTCCAGAATGTATGTTTTCCTTCAGATGAGTGGATTAATAATAATGTGAGACATAATTTTCAACTAAACAGAAATGGAACATACATATATCAAAACCAAAAAATATATTCTATGGTCATTACTGTAAGCAGTGTTATAGAATAAGCTACTTCTGCTGTACTGGGAATCTCAGTGAGAAATGTCTTAATTGATACATCACACAAAATTTCTACAATGTGACACTACTCAAAATACATGTAGTTAACACAAGTTAGTTTTAAAAATACACCAGTGTTATAAACATGCATATAATTTTAATATATCAATATTTAACAAACTATTATTAGCAAACCAATATCATATCTCTCTTCTGAGAATAGGTACACATGTTCTCTGATGCAGAAGAACTATTACAATTCAATTCTACATGATAGAGGGAGAAGGCAAGATGGAATTGTCTTCTCCAAAGTGGACAGTCCATATACTTCCCTATGCATAGGTGGGCACCAATGAAGAAGAGCAGATAAATTGTATATTCTTCTGATATTATAGAAACCAACACCTTTGAAGGACACTTTGCCACTGCAAAGAAGAATTTTTAAGTTCTCAGAACTCCTACTGAAAACTTCTGTGCGGACAACCAAGCAGTCCGCAATTTGCAGCTTTCTAGTTTTGGGCCTTGAAAGAATACTGATTTAGGTGTTTTTTTTCCTATTTTCATACTCATATTTTTAACAGTTGATCCAGTTTACTATTCTCAGAAAAGAGGAGATTAAGCATTAATCAAGACGCTACATATAGTTAAGAAAATCCCCAAAATTACACATACATAGTTTTACCTCTGTGCTTCCAGACAAAGTGATCTGTCTGTGTAAGACACAATTTCATAACCAGTGAAGGCTTGGCACTCAGGACTTCCTAAATGAGGCTACAATTGCATGAGGTAAATCAGGAATAGATGACTAGTACCCTGATACACATAGGATAGTAAATGCAAACTCCCAGTGATTCTCTCTCTGAAAAATCTGTCAGTCTTCAAAAGAACAAGTAGTTGACTGTAGCTTGTACTTGTCCTGGGATATCTAGTGGGAGAAATCTCAAATTTTACAGACGATCTCTAAGGCTCTGCCTCCCAGCAAAATCTATAACGGTTGGTATATCCTTCCTAATCATAGAATGGTTTGGCTTGGAAGGAACCTTCAAAGACCATCTAGTCCAACCTCCCTGCCATGGGAAGGGACATCAATACACTCATATTCAACAACCATTATGATTGCATTATCTTCCTCCTAGAGAAGTTTTTAAGCATCATGGTCTCATATTTACAAACTAGGATGCAAACACTTCCCAATTAGTTAACTAAATACTGTATTAAAAATATTACTTACTTTAACTCTTAATTTGGACGTTAATTTGGAGACTCTTTGAGAATTATTAGTATATCTGGATTTCAAAAGCTTTCCACAATCTTCTTCACTATCAAGTTCTTAGAAAGCATTCTTAACTTTTAAGCAAACTTCTTTTCTGATCAGCAAAGCCAATTATTCCATTTTCTACTTTAGTGACACAGAAAACAAATGTTCAAATCTCTCCTTTATCACAAATTAATAACAAAAGGACACTGTGATGTCCTCCTCGTGTTCCTCTCCTTTCTTTTCTAAACTAAATACACTCAAATACTTTTTTTCTCACTTTAGAAGTGTTACGTGTTATTATCACCTGGACTCTCACCAGTCAGTCTATACATTTAATGCAGTAATTCAGACAAGACTTCACTTAAAACCTTATCAGCATGAACTAAGCAGTAATTATCATCTTTATACGATACAGAAGGTCCACTAAAAGAGACGTTTTTTCCTCTCCAATAGAGTGTTGTAAACTCCTGTAAAGCTAAATAACCTGTAAGTGTACTAATCAGAGCAACTACACAAGAGATCCTAGCTTATCAAATGCATATAATGCCAGAGCACTGTAGAGTTAGCCAGGACTTAAAGCCCATTTTCTGGAATTCTGCCTAGTCATTCGCTCCTTACTTTCATTATTTGCACACATCAGTTCCCTTTTCTATGTGTAGTACTTCATGGTAGTCTTTAAAATTTTCATCTTCTAGATCTTAAATTATTTCTCCAAGATAATTTTTGAATTTTGACACTGATCTGCAAAGTGCCTGTAACAATTAGCTTCATATTTTTTCCATAATTATATCTCTTTTTTTTTGTTGCTTTGTGCATTACACATACAGATAATATAACCAGACCCAGGATAGATTCTTGCAAAATCATACCTGAGAAGTAAATGCACCAAATAGGAGAGAAAATCGTTAGTATCTTCCTTCTGAATATGTTTCTCAAAAAATTGTATATTTAACCCAATAATTTCATCTATGCTGTATTTCTCTAGGTGGCTGATGCATGCTTAAATGTTTACTTTAGACTATGGAAGGTATATAACATTCTCTATGAATATTTAAGTTACAGGAATAGCATTCAACACTAGAGAACCATAGTGAAAGAATTCTTCTGAAACATGGCAGACTAAAGGTGATTATTTTAAAGAAAGAAGTTAACATATTGTATTTTCTCCATTGTGTAAAAAGATAAGCTGAGAAAAGACAAAAAGTATATACAAACTTCCAAATAATTACATTCTCATAAGGACTACTACACACGTGCACTCTGTACAGATTTTGCAGTGACTTCCCAGAGGGCAGAGGTCAAAAATAACAACACTAAGTAAGGAGAAGGCAATCAGGATTAGAACTGATTATAAATTAATACTCAAGAAAGTACAGATGTCTTCTTGTATACATCCTATGTAAAAGTTGGAAGAGTGAAAATGCAAGGAAAATTAGAAAAAAATGGGGAACTGATGAAACTGAACAACAAAAGAGAATCAGATAAGCAGAAAATTTATGTAAAACAGAAAACATAACTGTATTAAAACAGATTAAAATTTGACAGTCTTAGAAGTGCTCACACGTAACACTACAACACTACTATGATCACAGTGATGTGGTCCTTCCATAACCTTATTTAGTTTGGGTTTTTGTTGTGGTTTTTTTTTTATTACACCCTCAATATGGAATATTCTAAAAGTTTAAATGCAAGCCAGTCTCAAGAGGACTCTACACAGATTAGCTGTATTGTTCAAAGCATCAAACAGCACTAAGAATTATGATTGAGAAAAGAAAAACAAAGAATTAACTGCAGGAAGAACATCAAAACAAGGTATTTAAGTAATGTAATAAAAACAAAAAAAAAAAGTGAAAAAAGTGAATGTGATACTCAACATGGACATTTCAAAACTCACTTTACATAGGGAGCTGAGATTATATCCAAAGGTCTGTGCATTCCGAGAACCTGCATTCATGTAGTTTCCCATTAACAATACTAGTTCCAGCAGCTTGCTAAAGCTCTTACTCTTCTTTATCTCTTCACAGGCAGCACTGACAGCCATGATGTCAGGTTTGATGTTGTTCACCTGCTCCTCAAACTGAAGCTTAAAAAGAATAGCACTGAGCCGTGGCCGTAGTCTCTTCACGTTGCTCATCTGATTGAAAAGAAAATAGGAGATTTCCTTTAAAATTCATGCTACACTTTGGCACTGTACAAATGCATACAATCTGTAATGATTTATTGGTGTGACAGGCTTGAAGAAGCAATATATCTGCTATAACTGATAGCAAATGAACGAATGAATGAGAGACACTTGGGTAAGCAGCTGAAATCCCATCTTGTGGTTAATACGAACTGCCCCTATCCTTTCCCAGTAACTAGTATGTGTAAGCAATAAAAGATAAAGCGTCATCATATATCACATCTGTCAACTCATATACCAAATCCTATAAAACTAATCCAAGTTTATGACCCAGTAGTTGCAAAGTAATAAAAGTAGTTCACAAATTTTGTATAACTCAGGATGTACCAAAACAAGGCAAATCTCATTTTCTGGTGCAAATATTTAAAAGCTGATTTCAATAAAAGCTTAATATAAACTTGCAGGAAAGTAACAGTTTTGAAAAATCTCAGCTATGAAACACTTAATATAGCATAAGTTAATATATACCAGTATTCATACCCCACTATACTCCTCGACCTCATACAGTTAATTAGATAAAGCAGAATGCTCCCAGGAAAACATTAGCTTCTGTATATCACACACAAAAAATTTTGCTTTTTCTATTGTTTACTAGTCAAGGATTTTCAACAGGGGTTTCAATCTTCCCATATAACTTAGGGCACTGAATTGCCACCCCAGAGATATTTTGCACATTGTATACTATACCCAAACAATGAGACTTCAAATTTTATTGCTTTTTTAAATCAAGGAACACCAAATGCATTCAATAAATTAAATACCTCTGTCTCCAAAGTTTCCAATGTACTACTCATCCTTCCAACTCTATCACAGAAAGCTTGAAACACTTTTTAGGTTTGGCATCACATACAATCCCAGAAACTTTGTCTTCTATTCTTGCTCCTTTCCTCCCTACCAGGCATTATATTTTCCTTGCTTTTTCCTTCTTCCACAGCAGAAATCATGTTTTTTTTTATTCCCTGCTCTATGGTTCTGTTCTCATGCTAGTCTCAAATTCTTCCATGAGCTGCTGCTTTCATTTTTCCCTATCCCTGTTTTCTCACCAATTTGATGATTTCTGTAAGACCTTGTATTTTTCGTTCTCAAAGCAAGGTTCAAGCCAATAATGCCTTGTCAATTCCTGAAATCCTAAACTAGATTTTGTTTTGTTAAAATAAAAAACACATGTTATGGTTTCCAGCTATCAGTAACTTCTTTTCAGTTTTCTTCTTTATCAGTACTTCTCAATGTGAGACAAGAAGCAATAATATTGGCACTTCTTCTACAAATAGGTTTCATATAGTGGCCTTAAATGTTTGTCTTAAAATTGGAATTATAGCCCTCCAATACCTAAGGTTTTAGAGAGTATTTCTCAGCCCATCTCTAGTCCATCAATGCAAAAACAGCTCTGACAGTGCAAGGTTCACAAGTCATTTGGTGCTGATTATCCCACCATAGACTCAGCGAAAAGGATAATCATGACACTCTTCACCCATTTCAGTGTAAAGTCAAACAAGGTCTCTTAATGATACTGAAGGCTGTCTAATCCAAAAGGTTTGATATAGAAGCAGAAGAGGATGAAATTTACAATATATTTTATTGGTTTTACCATGACAGCAGTAGAAAATAAAATCAGGTAGAGCTAACATTTTATGCCACTAAACTAGTTCTGTAATGCCTGCCTGGCAGTGCAACCACCTGATGATGTTCCACTGAAGTAAACACACCATTTGCATTTTAGTTCAGATAAGAATTCTTGAAGTAAAATAAGCAATCCTTTCCAATAACCACATTTGGGTTTGCATCACAGAGCAGAGCACACCAGCAGCATGTATTTCAGATTAAACTAGGTTGAAAATCAACTCCACTACTGAGCTTTATTTGGTCCACAGACTGCCTCCAGTCTGGTCCTAAAGTAAAACACTAAAATATACAGTTTGAATGTCAGCTCCGTACCAACTGTAGATATTCTGTACTCATCGTACACTAAATAGCATCCAATAGTATGGTAAAATTCTTACTTAAGAAAATATTAGCAAGGATAATGGGACTTGAATTTAAATAGGGCATTTCACAGTGAAATGGAAATACTTAAAATACATCTAAAATGAACGTAATGCCCTTAAAACTTGATACCTAATTTAGGAATAAAACCTTAACCTAAGAGAATATTAAGGTACTGCAAAGAGGCACATGTCACAAAGTAATTCTGGCAGATTCATCAGGAAGAATCAATATCAACTCCTTTTCCTCAAACAATTCACTTACTAGATTTATATGTGTACTACTACTTCTCAGCATACTAAGAAGAATATTCTTAATTTTAAGTTTCGTTCTCCATTCAGGAAAATTTGAGACTAGACTAGAAAAACACAAAACTTGATTGAAATTATCCAGATTTGTAATATTTGTCCCTACTCAGGGTGCAATAGAGACAATCATTAATATGAAACCATGGGAACTAACAAAATAAAGCAAAAGTTGCATTGATTTCAAATGGTACCAAACTCAAGATACTACAGAACCAGCAAAAGATGCATCATTTATTGACTTTTGGCTACTCAGGTAGATTCTTGAAACCAAAACAATCAGGTACTGTAGATTACAAAGATGTGTTGCACAAACACAAGCAAGCACATATGCACGAAAGATGCAAAGTTTTCATCAGAACCAGATGAACTACAACAAATTAAGAAGTTCCGTATGTAAGTCTTAAGGATAGATGCAGAAATATATAATCTAAAATATCAGAAACAGAAGTACATGCCAGAAATGCAACAGAAATGCCATTGGGCTTTACTTAATTTTTGTTTTTTAAATACTCTGAAATCCATAGTTCATGTACAACGTATGTTGTTGGTGCTATTTGTTTACTTGTTTGCTAAGTCAATAATTGAGAAGGGAGGAGATGGAGAATTCCTTTAGCAATATGTGGCTTTCTTTTTGATATGTAGTCTAAAAATATATTCAAGGTGTAAAATCTATACACTTTATCACAAGAGATGCTAAGAATGTACGTGTTGCGGTGTTGAGAGGCTTATGTCTACTTATGTCTTTATAGTGGAATCCTGAAAAATGACAATCCAAGTAATTAAAAAGGGAAGTTGAAGTAGAAAGCTAAAGAGTGAGTGGGCTACACATGTCAGAGAACACAGCGTATGGGTAAAGAACTGTTCTGTGTTTCAAGTAATAGTCCACAAGGATATTCTATGTGCAAGTCCACATGGGAATTGACAACTGAGTTGAGCTATCCAGCAGTAGCTCTCACAGCCCTTTATCCAACAGCAGACAGAGGTTTTTCTCTAAAATGCAGCACAAATCAGAAGGCACCTGCAAGAATGTGTCATCTGGTAAACATGTACTTTCGCTGTCTGCTTTGTTGATGTCAGGTAAAGGAACATGTCTCAGAAGTTACACTGACATTACATTTTGATCACTGAATGTGATTCATTCTTACCACAAGCTTGTAGAGAAAAACACTGCAAGGGTTCCAATTTCACAATATAACTTCCTTAAAGGATCAAAAGCGTCGAGGCTGTCAGACCACCTGAAAGCATTCCCATCCAAAAAGTAAAATATCAGTCACAGCAAAACCAACTACAAAGGAAACTGGAAGGCCATCCCCTGTGAAAAATGTATGGTTTTCATCAGTGCAGCATCAGTGAATTTTATAGAGTGCATAGGTAAGAAGTGTGAATTCCTAACACTTATCTTTAGACCTAGGCAATTGAAAAGAAGAAAAAAATCAAGTAAGGACGAACTGGTACCTTAATAGGCCTTTTATCACATGTTTAAAGAGGAAAAAGAACACCCTGTTCATCTTGAAATGAATGCTCAAATCTTAGTGAAGACCATCAGCATTCTAGAAAGACCAAACTTTATTTCAGTGTACGGGAAGTCAATCCACTATAATGGAACAGTATTTTAGTTGAGATGTTTTTATGGCTTTGTGGAAATAGCCTCATCCTTTTTCCCAAATAAATGATAATAAAGTCAAGAACTGCCAACTCAAAATTAAAATTACTTACGAGAACTCAGAAAGTCTTTATACTTACAGTGTGGATACATGTACATGCAAACAATTTAACTGATGACTTTTCAGCCTTACTAGCACTGATAGAGGGCACGTCCTGCTACTCTATTTCTCCAGCTTGAATTATAAACAGCTTGAATTTGCACCACTGACTCAATTTCTTGCAAATCCAAGATTTTCCTAAAGGATACTCAGGACCGAAGAGAAGTGAGCGTGCTGTGACACAGGACACCACCTATCAGTTACCTCCTAGCTGCACACAGGTGCATCTTGTCTTGTGGAAGACAGTGCACTGATATACAGTGCAGAAAATCCCTGGTACTGTTTTTGATTTCATTATGTTCAACACAGATGGATCAGCAAGGCCAGTCAGCAGATGTCAGAAACGAAGGGCATTCCTTTTTAATACTCCAGAAGTTACTTGTCTTATGAAACACATCCAAATTGCCAATGGAGGCTACAACACAGCTGTCAAAATAAGCTGAGTTTAGAGTCCTCATGCTGAAATTCACAGATAGGTATGTTCTACTATGAAAAGAGGTGATTTTTTTGTCTTATCCAAAAAATACAATTCGATTTACTGACAACTTGATCAGAATGGAATGTAGAGACAGCTTTTGTTTCTCCAAGTTGAATTTAGACAATGATATTTTCCTCAAAAGGAATCATCCGGGGGGGGTCTGAATTTCCCAAATTCTTCTATTTTTAGCAGACCTAACAGATGCCAGAAAAGCTATTTTCATTAAAAGGTACATATGGAGCAGATGTCACTAGAATGAAAAGCTTTCCTCATGGGAAACCAAGTCAAGAGTTTAATATAGGTAAAAATCCTCTGTAAAACCTCTAATTCAGCCAGATAGCAAAAATAAATAAATTTATACCAGAATTCAAGGGCAGAAGTCACTGAGGAATTTAAAATAGAATAATATATCGAATCAAA